TATATATATATATATTGGTTACCCAGGAACATACATAGCTCACATAATCAAACAGGAGTTATTTTTGAAAAAGAAACCACACAGGACTGTCTCACCTGTAATCTCCTGGGGGTGGATTTAGGGTCACAGGGTGGGGAGCTGGGATACACGTTGGAGGACTGCTCAGGCCCAGCTGTGCCCTACATCCTACAGAGCTCTCTCAGGTCCCAGATGTGGAGGTGAAGGGGTCTGAGGGCGGTGGCTCCTCCATTCCCCTCTGGTTACCCTGGGAAGCCCCCCATCGCTCCCCCTCCCCACAGCTTCACTGGGTACAAGCTGCATTATTTCTGGGTGCTGTAAAACCAGTGACCCTCGCTCAGCCACTTAGACATTGACACCACTTCACGGCTTCTGTGGCCAGAGACTCCTATGCCTGCCACCATGGTGTCACCTGAGCCACGTTTCTGTCTGGACATTTGGCCAGGGGAGAAAACGCTCCCCGCTCCTTGAGGCAGATGGCAGAACCCCTTCCTGTGGCATGTGACCAGGGCCCTGGCTCATCACCGGGAGGACACGTACAGGTCCCAGGGCTGTGGCCTCCACAGGCCTCTGTGGTCTTACAGCTTGGGTGTTTCCATGTGCCTTCTCAGTCCATCAAGTCAGCCAAGAGTGTCCTTAATTGGCCAAGAGAATCTCACAGGACATCACCAACCCAAGCTGGGCATGGTGGCACATACATGTGATCCCAGCACTCTGGAAGGCTGAGGCAGGAGGATTGCAAGTTAAAGCCCAGTCTGGGCAACTTAGTAAAACCCTATTTCAAAATAAAAAATGAGAAAAGGGCTAGGTACCTGGCTCAGGATGAAGGAGTACTGGAGAGAGAGAGAGGGAGAGGGAGAGAGGGAGAGATCACTTGGCTGAAGGTGGCGTGAGCCCCATAGGAGTGCCAGAGGGAATGTGTGGAAGAAGCCCGAAGGAGGACTGTGGTCTCCCATGAGGCCATGCAGAGAGTCTCCCCAGCCCTGTGAGTGGGGCTCATCCTTTCTACATGAGATAAAAGAATTGGGGCAGTGGAGCCAGGGATTTAGCTCAGTGGCGCCATGACTGCCTGGCAAACACAGTCCTGAGTTTGATCCCTGGTACCAGAAAGAAAAAAAAAAAGCATTGGGGCAGAAAAAGGACCCCCTGACCCCCCCGGGTTCACCTAACTTGTAGGTGTTGGCACCAAAGCTGTGGCTCCTGAGGAGGGGTTGGCGGGGGATGGGACTCCCGAGACCCCAGGTCAGCGGGGCTGGGCTCCACCCGGAGGCCTCGGGCACCCATGGAAGGCAGAAGAGGATCCCACAGAGGATCCGGCGGGAGGACCCTGCAGCCTACCTGTATGCCGGGCTTCGGGGTCCCCTCCCAGGGTGGATGCCAGACTGGAAGGTCCACCGAGGGGGGAGGACCTAGGGGAGGGAGTGGGTGTGGCAGGTAGAAGGCAGGGAGGGGACAGGAGGGCCACAATCGGGGTCTGACTCCCTCTCCAGGGCTACTGGCTGTTCCGTCACTCTCAGAGACACCACAGGGCCCTGGCAGGCTCTTTATCCTCCTGGGCCCCAACCCAACCCTGTCCCCCTAGAGGGGGACCCCTGCTGGCTCCTTAGAACAAACCCAGTGGCTGTGCTACCGAAGCAGGCCTCCAGGGGGCGTCTGGGGCTAAATAAATTCTTCCTAGTCCAGGCCTCTGCACATAACCTTGCTGTACCACACCGCGGGGCCTCAGTTTACCCACCCACAGTCACTCATTCAGATGCCAGGGCAGAGGAGGACAATGTTTAATCGCCGCTGAGGGGAGAGAGCTCGCTGGGTTCCCCCTCTGGGACAGACCACCGCCTAGGACTGCCACAGGGCCACGTTGGCGGCGGGCACGTCGAAGTGCTTGCGGGTGTGGTCAGTGTCCCTGCGGTACAGGTAGCCGCAGGTGGGCTTCTGCAAGGTGTAGAAGGGGTTCAGGGAGTTGGAATACTGGGCCGTGTAGAAGGTGGCCCTGAGCGGGCCCAGAGGCTGCCCCTGGGGACCCACGGCCACGGGCACGTAGGCGGCTGCCAGAGACTGCTCGCGGTTCTGCATCCACACCCGGGCCAGCGACGCGTGTGCAGGCGTCACTTTCTGGCCGGACGGCGTCTTCAACCCAGGGCCGGGTGTGGAGGGGTTCCGAGGAGAGGACAGAGGGGCAACTGGCGCAGGGATCCGGGACTGCAGCTGTGAAGGTCGGAGGCAGTCAAGAGCCCAGAGCCACTGACCCCAGCACGGTCGCCAGCCAGGGGGCTGCAGGTCCCTGCCTGGCCCCAGCTCTGCAGCCCCGGCTGCCCGCGGGGGTCGCTGCCAGCTCGCAGAGGGGCCGCGAGTCTTCAGGGCCTCCCCTCATTCCCGGAACCGGCCTGGGGGGGCCACTACTGGGGACTGAACCCCGGGCCTTCCCACTAAGCTACATCCTCAGCCTTTTAAAAAAATTTTATTTTGAGATAGATCTCATCATTAAGTCGCTAAATTGCCCAGGCTGGGCTGGAATTTGTGATCCTCCTCCCTCAGCCTCCCAGAGGGCTGGGATTACAGGCACCATGGCTGGCTAACCTTTCTGTACAAATGGCTGGATCCTTGTACCCTGTCACCCTAGCTCTGGCCTCCTCCTCGCGCTCATCAGGGACACGGGGTCTCCCGGGGACGCGGCCAGCTCCTGGCTTAGCGCCCTCTCCTTACCCTGGACATGGCAGCCTCGCAGACTGAGGCATTGAGAAAGGAAGTGTGGGCTTCTCCTCACTCGAATTCCAGTCCCAGCGCCTGGCCTCCGCCACCGCCCACCATTCCACTTTAGAACGCCTGTCATTGTGACTGCGCGTCCCTACCTGTCTTGATGGCCACCCCTTTGTGGGGCCCCCATTGCCCCGACATCCCCTGGCGCCCCCTTCTGGACCGACTTGTGAATGGCCTTGTGGTTCACCCCCAGCCCAGCCATCTCCCAGGCACTAGACGTCACTTTTGAGGGACCTGTCCAGCCCTGACAGTGACCACTCACCTGCATGTGGCCAGGCCAGGTCCACTCCATCCCCCAGGTTTCCACTGCAAGGGAAACCCTGTTCCTCTCTGCCCACCCTTGGGGTCACTGCGAGAGCCCCAGCTGCAGAGTTAGGGAAGGGCAGTTCATGCCTCCTTATAAAAGAAAGCCCAGGGGTTCCTGCCCTAGGATAGCTCCTTTGGATTTGATTTGCAAACCATTTGTCCAGTCCAACCTTGCCTAGAGCTTCCCTCTAAGGCAGTCTTTCCTCCTATGGTTCCTGCCCAGGGGCACAAGTTGTGCACTGCACAATCACCACATTCAAGGGCAAACCCAGAACGATGCCTCAGTGATGCCACCATACACAGCCATTTTAATTTGGACAAGAATACTGTGATGTTTGCACAATGAAACTGCCTAGCCGTGCATTTCTTAGAATTTGACATCTGACTGTAGCTGTACACTCCACTTTGCGTTTCAAAATTGTTCTTATGCTTCCAAGCCCAACAGCTGTTTTTCCCCAGTACTGGGGATCTACTCAGAAGGGCTTGCTCTAGCGCTAAGCCACCTGCGCCGGCCTTTTTTGCTTTGAGGTAGGCTTTCTCTATATTGCCCAGGCTGCCTTCGAACTTCCAGTCTCCCTGCTACAGCCTCCTGAGTAGCTGGGACTACGGGTGCGCACCACCATGCCCAGTTCCAAGGGCCTTTCGGATACACACACCTGTCAAAGCGTGCTGGTGTCCCTTCTTCCAGGTCGCCGGTGGAGGGCGACCCTCGAGCTCTCGCGCACGCGCAGTACTAGCACGGGCCTCGGAAACAGCCTGCTGCTGTTTACGGAAGGTTCGGAAACTCAGTGGCACCGGGCCCCGCTGGGGAGGCCGCCGGGGCCCTACAGGGGCCCTGCAGTTTGAGCGTCTGCCCTCTGAGCTGGCCCCACCTCCAGGTCAGGGCCCCTCGGGCGCCCTTAAACCTCTCTGCCTCGGCTGCAAAACGAGAAAACAAGGCTCGGGGCCTGAGCGGCTTGCGGATGGAGGTGGGAGCCGGGAGCACCACTCCGAAGTCGTCACTGGCCTTGCACCGCTCGCAGGGACCTCCAGGGGAAGCAAGTCTGCCTGAGTCCCGCCTCACTAGCGCGGGATCATTGGGCAAACTATAATACCCTGTACCTCAGTTTCCCGATCTAGAATGTGGGACAAACGAGGCTACTCTCCTAGTATTGCTGCTCTATGTAAACTACCTCGACTTAAGCACTCAGTACACTAGCTCTTTGTGGCTGGGCGCGGTGGCACGTGCCTGTGTCCCAGCTAGTTTGGGAGGCTGAGGCAGGAGGATCGCAGGTTTCTGCCCAGTCTAGGCATCTTGTCTGGAAATTAAAATTTTAAGAAGGGCTGGGGATGTAGCTGAGTGGTAGAGCACTTGCCTAGCATGTGCATGGCCCTGGGTTCCATCCTTAGCACCCCACCACTCCCCAAAACACCCCACCTAGCTATTATCCCTTGTGGCCAGTTAGCCCTGGAGAGGAGACCCGATCAGCCTCCCAAAGGCTTCAGGAAGCGCGCTGAGAACGGAGGAGCAGAGGGACCAGAGCTGGATGGCTGTGACCCAGCCTGAGCCCTTCACGAGAGGTCCCAGCCCAGCAGCCACAGCGGCCTCCGTCGCCTTCCTGTGGCCTTGGGCTGCTGGCCCAACCCTGAGATGTCACCCACCTCAAGCATCCTGGAAAGGGCCTTGGTGGTGGTGAGGTGAACTTGTTGGGGGCAGGGGCTCCCTGGGCTCCCAGGCCTCTTGGGAGGGCCCAGGTGAGGGGCGCCTGCAGGGTGAGGCATTGTGATGCCTCCTTACAGCACAGCCCCCTCTCTTGCTGAGGGAACATAGGGTCAGGGCCAGGATGGGAGTTTTGTTTGCTTTTTGTTGTTGTTTCGTTTTGTGGTACCGGGGATCAAACTCAGGACCTTGTGCTTGCAAGGCAGGCAGGGCACCACTGAGCTAAATCCCTGGTGCTGTTTTGTTTTGATTTTGACACAGGGTCTCACTATATAGTTCAGGCTGGCCTCAAACTCAAAGTGATCCTCCTGCCTCAGCCTCCCAAATGCTGGGATTATAGGTGTGTGTCACTACACCCAGCTCTGGGAGGGTCTTTAACTTTGACACTGGCCCCCTCTGCTATCCTAGCCTCCCACACACCCTGAAGATCCCCAAACTGTGGGTGGTGGGGGGGGGATATAGAACCTCCAAACTCTGAGCCCCTCCTAGCTATTCAGGTAACCCCCAAAGCCCTAATATCCCGTGTATCATGTTGTCCTGCCCCAACCAGGCCTCTAACAAGCCACGAGGAATCACTGGGTGTGCACCCCACTGAGGCTTTGTGTGTGGCTTGGTAGTGGCATGGATAGGTGGCCCTGTCCTCAAAGTCCAGCCCCCTATGTCCCAGGGTCCCTAACACTGTACTTGGCAGGCAACTTCCAGGACTGTGACTCAGTCCCACATGTAGCGTGGAAGGACAGGGTGGGAGGGAGCATTGAGAGGAGGGGACCCAGGCAGCCCTGCCACCCTGCCTTGTGCTGCCCCCACTCCACCTGGCCAGGACTACTTTGCTTCCTTCCTGATGCTGCATCAGCAGGACTGCAGGTGACAGTGCTGGAAGCTGAGGTGTGACAGCTGGTGTGGCCACCTGAGCGTAACCCCTAATTTCCAGGAGGCTTGGAGGAGCCGAGCAGGGAGCAGCAGTGGGGATGAGAG